ATTGTGTAATCTACAAATGGACATGGTGGGTTGATTTTTAGTCACTTATGATGAAATTGAGAATAAGAACTATACAGTGTGTCTGACTGATTGGGTGGTGTGTGTGTGTGTGTGTGTGTGTGTGTGTGTGTGTGTGTGTGTGTGTGTGTATTTGTGTAGGCTGCACAGCATTGCCTTATAGACCAAAGAAGGCATTTCTGCCCAGCCAATAGAAAGGGCTCTTTTCGTGTTGTCCTTTGGTTACAGCCAACTGACTCCATGACATCTCGTCACACACACACGCACACGCACGCACGCACGCACACACACACACACACACACACACACACAGTGTATGTATATGCAAGAGGTGCAGCCTTACACAACCACTCTTGAGGTTGGTAAAGCAGTCTCTTGAACACATTATGACACCGGTATTAAAACCCCAAGGTCACCAATGCTCCTTGCTTTTCTCGAAACTTGCTTTTCTTTTCTTAAAAGTGGGTCCCTTTGTGTACAAATGAACACAGCCAGGACCCGGGTTGTATTTCGTAAGTTGATAGACATTGATTTTGCTTTCAGCATACCAAGGAAGAAAGGAAGAAACCATTTGTTATTTTTAGGAAAAGCACTGACATGAGCTAAAAAAATTAAATTAAATTTCTTTAAAAAGGCCCATTTAAGCTTACAATTCAATTCAACGCAGTGTTATTTACGTTGTAATAACGGGTGAGCATTGCGCGTGAACCATAATAACAACAATAGCAATAACAACAACAACAATAATAACAATACTATTAACAATAATAAATAACAACAACAACACCAGGTGACGCCCATACTCCCTCCCTCCCCCATCCCTCCACTTCCTCCCTCCTTCCGTTTTTTTGTCGCATATGGTTTTTCTGGTAACCTTTTCCCAAGTCCTGCCACCACCTGCAGGCGCCCAGTGCGCATGCGCCGCCGCCCCGCAGAGGTATTTAAATAACCCCAGTCATCTGATCCGACGGTCACAGTCCGCCGCCAGCCAATCCACGGCAGAGCGACGACGACGGGCTGCTGCTGCCGCGGCGGAGGAGGACGGCCCAGCTTTTCTTTTTCTTTTTTTTACGGGGGCTAACCGGAAAAAAAACAAAAAGGGGGGGAGAGAGAGAGAGACAGGGGGTGAGAGAGAGAGAGAAAAAAGGAAAACATTATTCCCGGTCGGTCACACGGTTCCGTTGGCCGCACCTCATGACGCCGCGGACCGAGGGTCGCTTTTGAACAAAAAACACAGACCGGAATCGGACAGGGAGAGAGAGAGAGAGAGAGAGGGGGGAGACACAGAGAGAGAGAGGGGGGAGACAGAGAGAAAAAAAATAAAACAAAGATGGCTGTGTTGTAGTAGTAGTAGCAGCAGCAGCAGCAGCACCAGCAGCCAAAGACACAGACAGAGACACAGACAGACAAGAGACAGACGTGAGTCCCAGCGGCTCCACAACACCGACACGTCGCGGCGGGTCCCCGCGGAGGACCAGGCCCGTCAGCCGGCGTGAGGAGCGCCGCCGAGCCGCCGACGACGGTAACCACCACCCCCACCCCCAACCCCCCCCGCGGTCTCTCCTCCTCCTCCACCCTCCACCTCCTACTGTCACAACCCCCCCCCCCCCCCCCCCCCCCCTCCAGCAGTGTGGCGGCGGAGGGGTTGTTTTGTTCTGGTTCCGGGCGGGCGCAACGGAGCACAAAAAAAACGGACCGCCGCCGTTGTTGTTGTGGTCACAGAGCTAGCCTGCTAGCCCGCTAGCCGCTACTGTAAGTCCTCCCGAGAAAAACAACAACAACAACAAAACAGTTACCTCTTGGCGTTAGCGTTATGTGACACTTTAAGACAGGCTTGCGTCATTTTTTTTTTTTTTTTTTTTTTTTTACACATAAACAAACAACCGGGGTTTCTTTCTTTTTATTTATTTATTTTTTTAAAATATATATTTGCGTGTAAAACTACTACTACTACTACTACTACTACTTCTACTACTACCGTGTTATTACTGCAACTTAGCCCCGCATTCCTGTCTTGACAGCCGGCCGCTGTAAAGCTAACTGTAGCCGCCCGACGTCAGCTGACCGTTAGCCGCCGCGCACGCACGCGCGCACACGCACACACACACATACACGCGCACACAACACACACAGGGTTAGCCTCTGGAGCTAACCTGCTAACGTTTCGACCTCCTGCCGTTGGCGTGGCGACAGGGGGGACCGCCGCGTCGACGACGTCGTCGGACATCGCCGTGACAACCGCCGAGCGAGACCATCATGTCGTCACTGGAGGAGCGGGACGTGGGAGTCGCGGCCCCTGGCTCCTCCGCGTCCGGCGGACTCGGACTCGGGGTCGGACTTGGGGTCGGGGCCGCGGGGGCGGCGCTGGAGGCGGCGGCGGCGGCCGCGGGGGCGGCAGCCGCGGCGGCGGCGGCGATGCAGGAGGAGGCCGCCGCCGCGATTCGCCGGGACGGGCCCGACGCTGACCCCGACGAGCCGCCCAAGAAACGGGCGAGGCTGCCCGAGGGAGAGGCAGGGAAGCTGGAGGAGAGACTGTACTCAGTGTTGTGCTGCACCGTTTGCCTTGACTTGCCCAAGGCATCTGTTTACCAGGTAAACATGGTCTAAACAACAACAACAACAACAAAAAAAGAAAAATCACACACACACACACACACACACCCCTCCAACCCCCCCCCCCCACACACACACACACACACACACACACACACAACCCCCCCCTGTATAACACCACATAGGACCCTTATACTGTATTAATGTCTTCAGCTGTCCACTTGACCACTTGGTCTCTCAGCCTGCATCCCTGTTTTGTCTAACGACAGAGTAATAACAGATACCGCCGGTATTGAGTGGCGATAACAGGAAAAAAACGGGCAAGCCCAGACCAGTTGGGTCAGCTGTGCTGGCTTGAGCCCGACGCCCGCCATGGCTCAAGGGCTGTACTTAGGGTGAAATGCACTCAAATAACTGGTTTGACAAAAACCCAGGGCCCCAACCCCCCCACCCAACCCACACCCAACCCACACCCACCCCTCAGCACAAGCACTGGCAGTTGAAACCAAAACCTAAATTTACATCCAGCGCCCCCCCCAACCCCAACCCCACCCCCGTAGCCCCTCCCCACATTCTTCACGGCGCAGAGCTTGAATGAACCATTGATCAGCTGACATTAAAAATAGACCGCTCCCGGCCCGCTGTAGGCGTTCCTCCCTCACAGAACACATAAGCAATGGCAACAACAACAACAACAACCTACGTGTGCATAGTGTTCACCCCCGTTAACCCTTTCTCCACCACAGTGCACCAACGGGCACCTGATGTGCGCCGGCTGCTTCATTCACCTCCTGGCCGACTCTCGCCTCAAGGAGGAACAAGCCACGTGTCCCAACTGCAGGTATACACACCGCGCTGAAGTGCCATTAGTTATTAGTATTATGCTGATGAGCTCGGGCCAAAGCAGCTGTTCAGTCACTTGAGTGGTGTTTACCCCGCAGCTGTAAATCCTCACAGAGTGACTTTGTTATTTGATGTGCGGGAATCATGCTGGTACTTAATATTTGGGGGACACGCGTTTGAAATATATACTCCCGAATGCAAATTTTGAAACTGTTCGTCGTCGTGGCATCAAGGTCTCTTGGAAAAACATATTTTTAATCTTAAGGGACTAACCTGGTCAAATTAAATAATATATTATTGTCATTCACTGAGCATGTCAAAATGTATTTGTAATCTTGTTAGTGTGTGTGTGTCACTATATATATAATCTATATATATGCGTATATACATTTATAGTAATCTCAGTGATTTAGGGCGGCAGTGGCTTAGGCGGTAGAACGGGTTGTCTGGCAATGGGAAGGTTGCTGGTTCGATCCCCGGCTCCTAAATGTCGAGGTGTCCCTGAGCAAGACGCCTAATGCCAAGATTTTCTGCTCAGCGACAAAGTCAGGAGCTCGCCGACAAAAACCCCAAATTTGGATGTAAAACGGCGTTCAGTCAGGGCTCGCAAATCGCTACCAACGATGCAATCAAAGTGACTCGCCGATGCCTCGCCGTCATCTGCCAGATATCTAAGCAGGCTAAACATCTGGACATGTCGGCAACTGGCAGTGAGTGCGTCGACTACTACGTCAATGGCATCGACACGACAAGGGCTGAGCGGATACCTGCGAAACCCAGGGGAGGAACTGTAGCAAAACAATTCCTGTTTTGTGCGTGCATCACGTCATTTCCCGTGTCACTTCTCGCATGTGTTTTCGTGACAAAACCTACTTTGGAGACCAGAGACACTCGAGGATTTCTCCTGGTGAAGGATCGTGTAGGGTGTGACCCCCTGTTGCCGGTCAGTCACTTAGTGTGAACAGCACAACGACTGAAAGCCTCGCGATTACAAGCCAGCAAGTATCGTGTAGTATGAAAGGTACAGCGACCTTGAAAATCGTGCCTGGCTTAACCCCAACTGCTCCCGACGAGCTGGCTGTTGCCCTGCATGGTCATGTGTGTGACTGTGAGGCCACAATTGTTAAGCACTTTGAGTGGCCACAGGTCTGAAAAGTGCTGTATAACTGCAATTTACCATTTTACCATTTTACAGTGGCCATGTGTGTGTGTCTCCCATCCCCTGGGTACAGGTGCGAGATCAGTAAGAACCTGTGCTGCAGGAACCTGGCGGTGGAGAAGGCTGTGAGTGAGCTGCCTGCAGACTGCCCCTTCTGCCTCAAACACTTCCCCCGATCCGGCCTGGACAGACACCAGAAAGACGAGTGTCAAGACAGGTGTGTGTGCCACACGGGTGTGAACTCTCTCACCTGCACACGCCATTACCTGTAATTATGAGAATATTGCTATTACTAGCATTGTGTTTACTAGTTAGTTATTTAGTTGTGTGTTATTAGTTATTAGTTTTTTTTAATCCAAAGCTAATTGGATAATATATCTTCAATGAGCAGGTAGGGATTCGCATCTTGCTCAGGGAGGCCTACAGGTAGACCGAGGGACATTGGGGTTTGAACCCAGAACCTTTCGGCTAGAGTCAAAAACCCTAACCGCTAGGCTATCCCGCCCTTTGATTATTCAGTGTTGTTCATCAAACTGAATTGTGTTGGATGCACAGGCGCACGTAGCCGTTAGCGCACGTGTGTTTACTAGTGTAACTTCACCTAATGGTTAAGACCTTGTTGGCATGATGGGAGAAACAGCTGAAGAACACGAGCCTCCTGGAAGCTTAACAGTTGGTCAACAAGATGTTTAGTCTTGGATTGACACGGGCGAGGGCTCAAAAGCTTTATCGTAATGGTGGTGTTGCCATAGCAGCAAGTGACCCCGCTTAGGACAGCAATGCCTGTGCCGTTGCCGTGACAACGCCTTTTGGAAATCACCAGATGTTTTTAGGTTAGTTACCACGGCAACAACAAAAACCAAACCGACGTGTCTATAGTCGGCATCACTTCACTGCAGTAGACGGTATTAGATTGTTAGGAGAAATTGAGGTGAGCTTGAGATAAAATGCTCAAATCAATTTCAACAAATAACCTTACAATAAAATGAAAGTAATCCCTTCTGTGAAAAATCTATGACCATTGCATTGTCATTGTGATTGGCTACTAAGGCACATTTCCTCATGTGTCGCTAGGGTGACACAGTGTAAGTACAAGCGGATCGGCTGCCCATGGCAGGGGCCGTTCCACGAGCTTCCGGCCCACGAGGGCGAGTGCTCCCACCCGACCAAGACCGGCACAGAGCTGATGGGAATACTGGGGGAGATGGACCAGAGCCACCGCAGGGACATGCAGCTCTACAACAGCATCTTTGGCCTGCTCTGCTATGAAAAGATAGGCTTCACAGGTACATACACGATATACTATTGCTGTTGCTGCTGCTGCAGTGTTTACTGTCAAGTAAATATTGAGGTCAGGCCTCTTGTATACAAATTGGGCTGAGGACATTGGGGATCAAACCCAGAACCTTTCGGCTGGGGTTGAAACAATTGGTGGGACATGGCATTAACACAGCCAGTGTTAGGACTTTTTACTGAGTCACCCATGCTAACAATGTAACCACCGAATGGCATATATCGCGATATTCCTATAAACTACATACAGGTAGGGATGAATAAATGTGCGTGTGAGATTTCATCTCCCTTTGTCTCTCTCCCATTCTCTCTCTTACGCTCTAATGCAGAGGTGCAGTTCAGGCCATACCGGACCGATGACTTTATCACGCGCCTGTACTACGAGACGCCGCGCTTCACAGTGCTCAACCAGACCTGGGTGCTGAAGGCCCGCGTCAACGACTCGGAGCGCAACCCCAACCTGTCCTGCAAGCGCACGCTCTCCTTCCAGCTCATCCTCAAGAGCAAGGTACCAGAACACGAAACCAACACCAAGTTAGAAGTGAAACCGGAAGCGAATTTGAAACCCTGAGTGGGTTCATCATGTGTGAAAGTGACCTCTTCTGCACTCTTTCTGAGGTCCGAAAAGTCCTCATAAGCTGGTGAATTAACCGAGGCACGAACACACAGCAGCTATTAACAGTGGAGTGTGTTGTAAGGATTAGATTTGTTATGTTTGCTAGTGCAGTGCCCGTTCAAAACGGCGCCGTTCGGGGCGGGCCGATTGCTCGGCCTCCGGTATCGCTGCTTGCAGCTTTCTCGCCAACCGCTCGTCCAAACATCTTCACACGCAACACTGCGCTTCCTCAGCAATACACTCGGCAAGTGTGAAGTCAATCGGAAAGGTTGCCGAGAAACAGAGACAAACATACGTACGTACACACAGAGGCTCCTTCCATTTAAGTGAGTTAGATTAGTTGAAATGTGTGGTTAACCACACGACACAAAGACATAGCGTCACAACTCTCGGTGGCGAACGAACGCAAGCGTCAACTCCACTTTCACTGTGTGTGTCAGTGTCTCTATGACTTACGTGTGTGTGTGTGTGTGTGTGTGTGTGTGTGTGTGTGTGTGTGTGTGTGTGTGCGCGCAGGTGAACTCACCGCTGGAGTGCTCCTTCCTGCTGCTGAAGGGCCCGTACGACGACGTGCGCATCAAGCCCGTCATCCACCACCACGCCTTCAGCAACGACACCAACGAGACCGAGTACGTCCTGCTGCCCATCTCCGACTCGGTGGAGTGCAACAAGCTGCTGGCCGCCAAGAACATCAACCTTCGCCTCTTCATCTTCCAGATCCAAAAATAATGAGGAGGAGCCGGCGGCTGGAGGAGGAGGAGCCGGCGGCGGGAGGAAGGGAGGAAGGCGATGGAGGGGTGTGATTCTGGGGGTGAGGGAGGGAGGGAGGAGTAGAGGTGTTGGACGGGAGCATGGATGAGAAGGGGGGGGGAGTGGGATGGAGGAGGGGGGGGGGGGGGGGCGGTGTAATGGTAGATGAGAAAAGACACCACTGAACCACTGATACCTCTGAACATGCATTCACGCACACACACACACACACACATACAGACACACACACACACGTTTACACCCAGATGCATGTAGTCCTACACGACGCAAGGTACATTACATTTTTATGCACATGCTTACATCCAAACAAACACAGATGCATACATACACACACACAATTATTTACTTTTTACCTCCATTGACATGATGGTGAAACCCCCATCTCACCATGGGGAAGTGCGAGGGTTACTATGGAGACCGAGTGGGCATGGACACGGAATGGGAGGGGTGTTGACTCCAGAGACTGGGGCGTTGCAGTATGGGTTACTGGGGGATACTGGACATACTGGTCTGTTGTCAAGAGCCTGGCTGGTGTGTGCCTGTGGACATTCTCTGATGGCGGGCTGTCTGACCTTTAACCTCTCGACCCCTCCCCCACCCCCATCCCCACAGCCAAAGGTAGCACACACACCAACCAAAGCTGGACATACCCACTGCATTTGTGCATGTGTGTGTGCGTGTGTAAGTGTGTGTGTGTGTTTAGAGAGAGAGAGGCTGAGTAGGAAACGGAGAGAGGAGGGTTATGAAGTTACGATGAAGTTAAGCCCAAACTGAATGATTGTCGATTGTTCCAAAGACTTGAATGTGAAGGGGACAAAAAAGTATGGTTGACTTGACATGAACTCTTGGTGTGCGTGTGTGCGTGCGTGTGTGTGTGCGTGTGTGTATTTTTGCGCTCACCTGCGGCTGTGCATCTCTGTCTGTCCTGTAAGCATTGTGTCCATCTGTAGCCAAACAATTCCATTTTGTTGTTTTGGCAATGGCAGCCATTTTGTGTGAACAAAGATGGTTGCCCTTTTGTCCCCTGCCCTACCCTTTCCCTCACCTTTCAACAGCAGGATAGCAGCCCCCTCTGGTTAAAGGCACAATGAGTAGTGTTTTCCTTATAAACGACAACAAAAATAATCCCTCTCAATCATCACTTATGACCCGCTAGAGAAGTGTGTGGCGGCGTCTATCCTCACAGACTCTGCCCTCTGCCTCTATTTTCTTATTTTACTTTGTTTTGGGCAGCCGGAAGCCGGGGCGTGAGGTGGGACTATCGCTATGAAAAGGTGGCGGACCAGGGTCCCAAATCGTGAGCACGCATCCAAGAGGAAGTTACAACAATGGTGGACGCAGCGTCGAACAAAAACGTAAATATAGCGAGGCGAAAGCACCAAGCGGACAAAGCTCAGTCTGGGGTTGGATTTCACCCGCTGGCGAGCGCTGCCGGTGTCGTTGGGCCGGGGAGGACAGGGCCGACTTTAAATGTTGTGTTTACAAAAAAACCCGCAACCGACAAATCCTATTCATTGTGCCTTTAATGTTTAGTTCCTCAGTTACTTTTTTCCTTTTTAGTTGTGGTTCTATTTTATCTTAATATGCTAACTTAAGTCATTTTATTTCTCTTTACCCTTAAATATTTAAATTACCTGTGAACCTTTGCCTTTTTAGTTTGATTTTCTGTTTTGTTATTTTTAAGCGTGCTTGTGTTCTTGTGAATGTGTGCGAGGGAGTGTGTGTGTGTGTGTGTGTGTGCGTATGTGTGCGTATACAAATCCTACAACTGTGAGATTCCCATTGGCTTCAGTCAACATCCCGCTGTACATGACTCCCAATGTGAACAGTGGCTTGAGCAGTACTGGACTAAGGGGGTGTGGTGGCGGCGGCGGGGTGTGGGCAGTGGCGCGTGGCAGCAGGCGAGTTCTGGGCACAGAACTTCAGACCCCCCCCCCCCCCCCCTCATATTTTCAAAGATTTGGACATATCAACCTCATCTCCACTGGAAAAACAATCACAACCCTAACAAGAGCAGCAGGACGTTGGGGGGACGTGTGTGTGTGTGTGTATGTGTGTGTGTGTGTCAATAAGGATAGGGATTGGGGGGTGGGTGGGGTTCAGTTAGAAAAGGTGACATGTTAGTGTTAGACTTACTTGAATGAAAACAAGATGATGTTAACTAAAGTAGATTCTACTGTAAAGCAACTAGAGCTGTCTTTCTCTCTCTCCCCGTCTCTCCTCCTGACCTCTCTCCACTTCTCTATTTCTGTGTCTAACGCTTTGTCTCTATGCCAATGGACTCACTCATCTCACTATGGCTGTACATGTGCCTTTTATTAAAGATCATGGAAACTGTACCCCCTTGCTGCCTTTCACTCTTGGCCCTTTAAACACAAGTGTGAAAACAAAACGCATGTTTCTGTTCCACGTATGACACCTGGATAACCCCCCCCCACACACACACACACACACACACACAGATAGGTGATGTGATACTTCAATTGTTTCGGTTCGCTTTGATGTGGAGTTTGCAGTGGTTTTATTATCCGGTATTTTATCCACAAGTCGTCCTATTTCCACAATGTGTGTCACACACACATTGTCCTAGTTCCACAATGTGTGTTACAAACTCACACTGCTGGTAAACCCGAGGCTGGGAGGGGTAATTGATGATTACACACTACAACTACTTTGAAGTGACGTGAATACGTTACTGAGCAGGTCAACCTGACACACACACACACACACACACACACACACTTACTTGAATCCGGGTTTAAACACGTGCTCCTGCGTGCAATGACCCTCATGATCAGCTGATACGATGACCCGGTCACCTGCTG